TGCAGGAACACAGCCCTGGAGCCATTCAGCTGTCACCTCCCTGCCCAGTGTCAGGCTGCTCCCCAGGCAGGCCCTGGGAGGGGTGATGGCTGATGGCAGGATCCCAGAGCAGCTCCCTGCTGCCCCCCACTCCCACCCCCAGCCAGCTGGCTGCTCTTTAGGTCTCAGCTGGGGCAGGTGATTAGATGTGGGCAAAGTGCAGGGCAGCCTAAGCAATGCCTTTGTGGACAGCAGGGGCCCTCCTGCTGTTTGTAGATAATTGTCTTGGCAGTGAGGCCAGTCTAGAGGCCTGGTTCGCAGGAAGGGCAGCAAGGCAGCCTGGGAGGGCAGCCAGCCCCCCCTACCCCTACAAGCAAGAGGCCTAAGGGTTGTTGCCTGTTTAGGCCACCCTCCCTTCATGAGCCCTGTCCTGCCCAGGCTGGCTGCTCACAGACAAAGATCAGACCCACTGGGCATCCTCCCCACAGGAGGTCACAGAGGTTCCTCCTGGGCTGTCAGGCCTGCATAAACCTAGGCAACCACACCACAGGCACTGCCAAAGTAGGGGAGGCCAGCCAGCTCTGGGGCCTGTTCCTGGGAGGCACAGCTTGTCCTTACCCCTAGAAGCCCCGGGGCCTGGCTGCAAGTGCCTGTGGCTCTGGTCACTAGCAGAGGTGTGCAAGGCCAGGACAGACAGGGAAGGAAGAGTAAGTGTTGGGGCCTGACTCCTGGGACATGCATGTCTCTGTGGTCTGTCATGGTCATGTCTTTAGTTATCTGCCAGCACTGAAGTCACCTCCTTTCACTAGCAGCAAATGCCCCTGTTCTCAGGGATGTGCTTGGGCCTAGAAGCTTTTCCTGCAGGAGACAGTGAGTAAACCCAGAAAGCCAACTGCAAGGGCATGCCAGGGAGCCCCACAATCCCTGTTCAAAGAGGGCAGGGGGGTGGGTGGGGGCTTCCATGTGTTTGACCAGAGACCTCTGAACCAAATTTGGGGGAGCAGAGTACGGGCTTCATGAAGAGCCTCAGCCTGTATGCAGGGCAGTGAGTCCCAGGGGATCAAAGAGCCCAGGGCACTGGGGCTGGGGTCCATGTGTTGGCCCTGTGGCACACAAGCTTCCTCTCGCCTGATTCCCTGGGCCTTGCCCCCCTCCTAAAAGGAGGCACCTACACACTGTGAAGCCTTGGCATCCTTGTCCCTAACCCTAGTGGACTTGCTGGGGCTCCCTGGACCCTGCCCCCCTGTCAGGGAACCCCTGCCCACTCCTGACTCTCTCCCGTAAAAACTATGGCAGATGTTGTCACTGTTAACAGAGCCAGCTTCCTCAATTAACAAGTCCCAGCAGTTCCAGGGTCCAGTGGAAACAAAGCTCCCCATCCACACCCCAAACTTGCCCACACTCCTGCTAGTACGGGAGGGGGTTGTCTTCCCTTCCCTGTCATATCAAAACTCAATGTCTGAGAGGCAGGAAATATGACTTCCAGGTGCCACCCACTCACAGGGGCAGGTGAAGCATCTCACCTGACAGCCACTCAGGCTTCCTTCTATGTGGCACATCCAGCAGCCTGACCACTTCCCTCTCGGAGTAGCTGTTAGGAAACCTTGCCTTTGCTGGGCATCTGCATTATCACAGGTTTCCCCCAATTTATTACACATCTGTTGATTTTAAAGACGTCGTCTATGCAAAATGTTACCATCTGTAATTTAATTAATTTTTTCAAAAACTTTTTGTGGCTTCAGGCGGCGCCTGCGGCTCAAGGGAGTAAGGTACCGGCCCCATATGCCAGAGGTGGCAGGTTCATTGTGTCTTCTGCTTTCGTGTTGTATTTAGAAAGGCCTTCCTGAAATTAGGAATCAGTCTCCTGTGTTTTCTTTGAATGATTTTGTGGTTTTGGTTTTTTCATTTATATTTTTTGCTCATACGGAATTTATTTTGGAGTGAGGAGTGGGATAGGGGTCCAACGTCCAGTTTTGTTCCAGACAGCTAGTTGTTCCAACACTTTATTAAATAATGCCCTTTTCCTTGAGGATTTTGAATGCTCAATTAATTGTATTCTAAACAACCACACAGACCTCCCCTCTGTTCTGTAAACTGCCTACAGCAAACCATTCTGATTAGTCTCATATAGGGATAAAGCCTTCTTTTTTTCCTTTTCATAATTTTATAGGCTATTCATTCTTTTCTTTTGTTGTGTAAAGTATATGAAACCTAAAAGATACTATTTTAACTATTTTTTAGGTGAACAGCAGCATCAAGCAGTCTCATTGTTGTGCGACCATCACCACTTTCCATCTCCAGAGCTCCTCCCATCTTCCTGCCTGGGATTTGGTGTTTACTAAACACTAAACCATATCTTCTCTTCCAGCTCCAGCCCTGTTCTACTTCTGCCTCTGTGATTTTGACCACACAGGGGCCTCATGTGAGTGGAATCATACAGCATTTGTCCTTCTGTGTATGGCTTGTTTTTCTGAGCATAATCATCAGGGTTCATCCATGGGACAGCAGGTGTCAGAATTTCTTCACTTTTCATGACTCAATTCATTTCCTCTGTACACATTCACCCTTTCTCCACCTGTCTGTGGATGTTGGGGTTGCTGCCCTCTCATGGCTGTTGTGAGTAGTGCTGCTCTGAATATGGGTGTACAGTCTGTTCACGTTCCTACTTTCAATTATTTTGGGTGTATGCTCTGAAGTAAAATTGCTGGAACTTATGGTAATTCTATTTTTAACTTTTCTGAGGAACTGCCACACTGTTTTCTGTAGTGGCAAAGCCACTTTCTATTCCCACCAGCAGTGCATCAGGGCTCCAGTCTCTCCCCATCTCACCAGCACTCCTTGGGTCTGTCTGGACAGTGGCACCCAGACAGGTGGGAGGTGGTACCTCACCATGGCTCTGATCTGCTTCCCCCTAACGAGTAGGAGGCTGAGCGTTCTTTCACACACTTACTGGCTATCTGTGTGTCTCCTTTGGAGACAGGTCTATTCTGTCTTTCCAGACAATTCTTTTTGTATCTTTAATTTCCTCGTGGACTTTAGAATTGTTCACACAGTCATAAAACACACCCTATAGCCACTTATACTGGGGATGCATTTGACTTATGGGTCAACTGAGGAGAACTGGGGCCTCAGCCCTCCATGGCTTTACTGTCCTGGCCTCTTCTTTGGGTTCCTGGCTTGGTCTGAGTCATCCTCTCTACCTTCTCCCCCACCCTGTGGCTCTAAGAATCATCCAGACTTGCTCCCCTAGCTCTGTCCTGAGCTCCCAAACGAGGCTGGATGGCTCACCTGAGCGTACATCAGGTCCTCCTGTATCAAACTCTCAGCCTGTGGCAGCCACATGTACTGGCTGCAGGTCCAGGCAGAAGCTGGACACATCCTGGTCCCCCTGTCTGCCTCACTTTGGAGGAAGTCAGGATCCTGGAAGAAGGAAGGCACAGAGAGAAAATGACTTTTGTGAAGGGTCATTTACCAAGGTGTAAACCAGGTGTGGGCAAAGCCAGGAAAGATGGTGAAGGCCTTGGGTGGGCAGTCCCAGAGCTTGGAGAGGGCAAGAGAAGGAGGCGGGCAGGGTTGGGGCCTCAGGAAGAGGACAGCTGGGCACTCCAGCAGTGGAGGAACTGGGGAAGTTCACTAAAAACTCACCTGGACACAGATGGGGTGGAGGTGAGGCAACCCGGCCTGGAGGGCTGACTGGGAACTCCAGTTTGGCACCAGTCCTTGCCCACCATGCTCTCGAGTCTGCCCTCCTGTCTCCTTCCTCTGTGCCCACCTCCACCTGCCCAGGCCTCTTGCTGGACGCCTGGCTGCCTCATCCTCTCATTTGGACACCCAGACTGTCAAACCCTCACCTGAGTAGGTCACAGCACCAAACTTCTTTTGGTGCCACATTGCCCTTGGGACGAAGTCCAAACTTCTTGTTCGCGAACTTCCTCCACCCCCTCCAAGCCCTCTCCGCCCTGTACTCCAGGGGCGTCTGTGCCCTCCAACTTCGGTCCTAGCTCAGGGCCCACACAGGGCTCAGTCATACTGAGGTTGCAGAGAGACGGCAGGTGCGGGACCAGTGATACAGGATACAGCCTAGGAGCCCCACCGAATCTCCCGGGACTTCCCTCTACCTGCTCAGCTCGCCCGCCACAGCGCCTCCCCCACGCCCCTGTCCCCTTCTGTCCCTTCCGGAGTCTCAGCTCCTAGGACACGGGACACCTGTACTGTGGCTCTCCGGGAGGAGCCTGGAGCGTCTGGGCAGTTCCCAGCCCCACTCCCAGCTCTGCTTCAGGCCCGCGGAGGGCTTCCCGGCAGACGGCGTCGACCCCCGCCCCCTGCTCAGCCCCCGGCGCCTGGGTTGGAGGTGGGTTCGGAGGAGGGGTCTGGACCGGGATGGGTGGGTGTCTAGGACTCGACCAACCTCCTTTGCCCTACACCTCTCCTTTGGGCCACTAAGACCAAAGGTTGGGGGCTGGAGCGCGGCTGGAGCCTCCGGGTCCCGGTGCATGGTTAAGCGTTAACCCGCAGGCCTGGGGCCAGGACGCTGCGCTGCTTTGGGCACAGGTTCCGCGGGTCAGTCAGGGCCTGGTCCCCAGCCGGGCCGGGGGCGGGGCCGAGACCGGGGGCGGGGCCAGCTTGCGGCGCTGAGTGAGCCGCGAGGGAGGACGACCGGGCGGGGCGGCGGGGGAGGGGG